AGTTCACGTTTGCTTCTGGGTGGTGGTGCCGGTGGTGGCAGTTGGGCGTAGTCAATCCCCAAATTTCTCTTGCCTTCTCTGAATATTCTCTGGGTTCCATAGACTCTAACTCCAATTGCCTAGAGATGTATTGTGTGTGTGTGTGTGTGTGTGTGTGTGTGTGTGTGTGTGTGTGTGTGTCTAGAGCTTGGTTTGTTTGCTTCACTTACTGGTTTGTTTATATATATATTTTCTTCATATATATGTATATGTATATATACAAAAATTTAAATATAACTACAAACACATAAATATTTTCTCTTGTGTAGTTTGAGGAGCCAACAAGGTTTCTCCAGGGTGATGGGCTGATTCTAAAATGGTTATGATTCCAGCCCCTGATATTCCTGTTTTGGTTAATCCTCTGCCCTTGAGTGTGGGTGTTACTTGCTTCTAACTAACAGGTTTGGGCAAAGGTGATGGGCTCTCTCCCCGGCTGGGCGTGATGAAGCAAGCTGCTGTGTTGTGAGCTGCCCTAGTAAGAGGCTCACATGGTGAGGAACTGGGGGGGGTGGGGGTGGCGGGGTACTCGGCCAAAAGTCAACAAGAAAATAGATTCTCAGTCCAAGTCCCCACATATAAAACATAATTCTACCAACCATTACTTGAGCTTGTTAATTGAGCTTTGGACACTATTTAAAATACTGAATATACTTCAGCTAGGAAAATAATATGTATTTGTCTGAAAAACACCTCCCCTAATTCCTATACTCTAGACCAGGGGTCGGCCAACTGCAACTCGGGCTTTCTGTGGCTCTCTCCTTGCAAACCTGAAGTCAAACTGAAAAAGTTAAAGACATTATTCAGGACATGATGATTACATTTGTTTTTAAAAATGTATTTATGGCTCTGGAATAATCTTTGAATGGTTGTGAGGGGCAGGATTGGCTCTTCCATCTCAAAAGTTTGCCAACCCTGCTCTAGATCTATTCTAATTAATCACTATAAACTTCCAGACACCAGATATTTTAAATTTTCAGAATTCCATACAGTCGAAGGTTCCCAGTAAATGAACTGAAAATCCTGTCCGTTCAGCTTGCTCTCACAAGAAAGGCTAGCCTGTATTTCTCCACTGTCCCAAATCTATCAGACGCATTTTCCCTAAAGGTACTAGTTCGCACCATCCTGAATTGGAGAAATTCAGGGATTTCGACTACAATTGTGCTTTTTCATTCTATGAAGAAGAACAAAAGCCTGTTCACGCCTTTCACTGTTCTACCACTGTTTGGCCTCTGGTGCCCTTGAGGAGCTGGGAGACAGACAAGCAGTCCTATCCAGCATGGGCTCTTGGTGCTAAGTTCAAAGACACAAGTTATTTTATCATTTTAAATACAAGTACTTGAAGCATGCTGAAAATAACTGCAACTAACAGGTGTCAGTTAGTTCACATTGTGCACAACCAGATGTTAGCCTGTATCTATAGTCATTTCTGCTAGATAGCATAGACTTACCAAACAATAGAGGAGAATGATTCAATACGAGACTCAGAGAGCACTGTGAAACATTGACTTTGATTTCTTCCCCGTCTATCTGAGGCTACATCTCACAATAAGGAGAGGCAAAATAAAATTGTTCCCTGCTTTGGAAGCAATATCTACAGACCCACCTCCACCTGACGACAAGGAAATGCCACTCTTAGCCAGAATTTCTGGAATGATCATTGGCATAAATGGACAAAAATATGTTGGTAGTGACCTGCAGCATTCAAAATCTTTTCTTTGCCAAAGATTGAATACGGTATCTTCCCCAGTGAGCACATTGCAAAGTCCTGCAAAAATTACATTGGGTAGGGACTAATTGCATGGAAAGATTTAGAACAATCTAAGGTATTCCCACTCTTGGTTTTAAGTTATGACAGTTTGGTTTTCAGGTGCCGGCGATATTGTCTGCCGATGTTTTCAGCAAAATCTTTTTTTGTGGATTAAAAAGGTTTATGGGAAAACCCCAATTTGCTAAGAACAGATAAAATTTACCTAGAATTTAAGCACAGTGGGGAAGTTTGTGGTTAGTTTGTCATTAAATGTATTTACTTTTCAGCTAAATCACACTGAATTAAATGAAAGTATGTATTCACACGTTTAATCTCCTCCAGACATCAAATTAATCTGCATCTGTCCCTTTAAATAATTAACAAAACCTCTCTCTAATAAGGACGCCCATCATGGAATTACCTGTATTGCTTTCTGGTGTCACGTCCCACTGCATTGGTCTCCCAAATTTTGGTAGCCAGAACTCTAACTGTATTCAGAAAGATAATAAAATTCAGCTGCAAGAGAAGATAATATTACAAAGAATAATTATGTTAGTCTTCAAGATGTTTCATTAAAATGTACATAAATTGAACTTTCTTGCAACCAAAACCTGAAAACTACTCATTCCCTACATGTGAATGAGGGACTCTGAAATGAGATGGTAGAAAGCTAGTGGCTCCTGACTTGTCCTCATGAATGGGAAGAGAGTGCTTCCGCATTGCTGGATACAAATATCAAGGATGACCTTCCAGGAATCCACAGGGAATCTCCAAGTCAAAGTTCAGATGGAGCCCTGTGGCAGCCTGGTATGGCAAAGCATAACAGAAATGTAACCTGCTGTGACTTTTTTAATTAAATTCCATCAAGAGAGGGGTAATAGCGTTGTTGGTGTGTAGTAGATAGGAAATATAAAGGCCTCTGATTAAAAGGTGAATACGCTGCTAAGTAAGAAAAGGCCCACTGTTTGACAATTATATGGAATTTGGTGTTTTATTTCTGTGGACATTATTGGAATCAATTAAGTGCTGGTTTTAAAAGGGGGGTCAAGGAGGTATGTGGGATGAGCCCTTTTATGTCAGAAGGCTTTAAAGATCATTGAAGAGGCTCTGCTCTGGGCTTGTAAGGAAGTGAAAGTCTGAATCCACAGCATCCTCTCTTTCCGGGCTGTGGTCCAGAAAGCACGAACACTTAGCAACAATGCCCCTATGGGCTGCAATGAGTGGGTGCTTGTTAAATCTTGTCGATCTTTTCCAGAATTTGGAGACTCTGTCACTAGGTGATGCATTCTCCAGACCAGTTGGTCCTCTGCGTCAGTCCTCATTGTCCTCTTTGGCTCTCCACCATGAGCCTATAGATTCCCCTCACCAATTTCCTAAAAGCTGGGGGCTTGTCAGTATAGCCCTCAGACCTCAGGGCAGTGCAGAGATGTATGGTGAGCCAGTGAAAGAACAATGTTAAAATTTCCTTTTTTTTTTTAAATGTTAAAATTTCTAGACTAATAACAGCCACCATTTGCTAGGTACTCCCTCATTTAAATCCTCACATCAACATGGGGCAGTCACTTTTGGCGTATCCATTTGTAGTGGACGAAGAAACTCTAGCTCAAATTGATTTTCCCTAGGTGCTCCTGTGGGTTGGAATGAACTCACTGGCTGTGGGTTATACAACCCCATGTGGCTTGTGGCCTAGACATTGGGCTGCTACCTGTAAGGTTGGTGGTTCAAACCGACCAGCTGCTCCGCAAGACAAGGATGAGGTTGTCCATTCCCTTAAAATGTATGGCCTCAGAAATCCTATATAGGGTCAGTATGAGTCACATTCAACTGAATGAAAGTGGGCATTTTTGTTTCTTTGTTTTTGCATATCTAATGTAACCTTCTTGGAGGAAAATGTTTGCTTAAAGGTCTACTCCAGTTAATCAATGTCAAATCAAAACTAAAGAAAGTGACTATCCAGAAACAGTCAAGCCTGGAAAACTTAGGGTGGATTCTATGCAAATAAGGCTATCTACCTATAAATATAACACAATATTCTTTCGAGTTTAAAAAGCGGCTTCCCTCTATAGAACATGTTTGAACTTGGCAAGTTGTTCCTTGGCACAGAGCCATTTCTATCCCCGTTGCATAGACAAGAAACTAGTTCAGAGATGTTAAACTCCTTTTTCTACCTCCACATTGCTAATGAAAACGGGGAGTGACCCCAGTCCCAAATACTAAGTGGATGCCTGCCCCTCCCCCGAGAAGAAGTTATTTCAAAGGATGGCACTGAATCTGCAGCTCTGGGAGAAGGATATATCTGACCAGAGCACACAG